GAGTCAAACGAATAAGAAAGGAGTCAAACGAAAGAGAGGAGTCAAACAAAGAAGAGAAGGTATATGGCCGGCACCAGTTCAGATGCTCCACCCTGTTTCCAATTGCTTTGATCCCGTAACACATTAGACGTAGTATATTTATAGTTATAAAACTACACATATATATATAAATAGTTATTTATGCGTCATGAAAAGTCATAGAGTGATGAACAGATAAATGAAATCGAACCCTCCGACACAGTAAGGGCTTATCCCGCATCTTTGAGCGCTCAAACAGCTTTTCCTTGAGCCGGCCATGGATGCCACCCCAGATCGAATGTCGCATTGCTCGGAGCTATCTGATTCTGCTTTGGGGTCCTCTTTCGAAGCGGCTTACGCCGAGTTGGATGGCGCAGAGGCTCCCCCATCTGCGGATATGGTGGCAGAACTTGAAAGTGGATTGCTACCAGTTTGCGGATTGGAGAGCCATGAGCGTGGAATTGTGTTGCTCAGAAAGTCATTAGCAGCTGGCCGTGATGAGCAGGACTGGATGCCTACCCAAATGAGCAGTCCAAGCCCTCGCTGGGGCGGGCAAGACGATTGGCAGCATATGCGGCCTTGCTTGCTGAAGCATTTGTTGCCCACATCGGCGGCTTTGCCGCATGATCTTGTCATCATTCCTGCTACTTATTTCAGAGACCCACACTTCCAAACGCCGAAGAAGATTGTGTTCTGGTTTCTGGAGGTGTGAGCAATACCTTCCACGAAGGTGCAACAGGTGGTTGCCATTTTATGCCTTTGCTTCGAGAGAAATGCAAGAGGGAATACGAAGTCAAGGCATCTTTATCTAGCAAATGGAGGGACATGGCCATGGCGGTGGAAGGGCGCATGGGGCACATAGCTTTCTTAGAAGAGAGGGTCCGGGATGCGGGCGATTGCTATTTCCACAGTGTGTTGCTCGCCTTGCACTTCAAAGGTGTTATCTTTCAAGTTGAAGAAGTTTCCGGGCCATTGATGGAAGAGGTTGTCAGTTGCCCCATGGGCGCTGAGTGCTCTACTCCGGGTTCCCAGCAGGTGCCAGCTGCCCAGACCGCAGGGGTGTGCTCTACTCCGGGGTCCCAGCAGGTGCCAGCTGCCCAGACCAGCCCGTCGATGGCCCGCACAACGCCCAGCCAAACACAATCTGAGCGGCGTCTAGCTTGTGATCCAAGAGGGCTATGCTTCGAGGACGCCTTGGCTGAGGAGGAAGTGGGAGACAACATCCTGAAGGACCCGGTTTTGGAGTTGCTGGTCAAAATCAAAGAGGCGACCAATGCTGCAGAGCTCGACAAGCTTTTGTTTCCGGATCGTATGTTCATTGATGCGAAGAACAAAGATAGTGTCTACGATCTGGTCAAATCCAACTTGAAGTTGGCTTGGGAGGACAAGAGGAACCATCGGCAATTGAGTGAAGAGGCGGACTTTGACGTGCGGCTGCGCACCGCGACTCCCATGGCTGAGGCCATCCACACAGTGGCTCGGGCCAAAGGGGTTGCTACAGAAGCCTTGCTGAGCTGTGTGGAGTGCAACATTGGCTTCTTGGAGGCGCCAGGCACAACCATCACCCACAACAAGCGCAGCAACCATGACATCAGCACTGGGAGCCCCGTGATCATCGGGTCCGCCTCTTCATCCAGGAAGAGTGCTTTGATCAAGATGACAGATGATTGGCTCACAGGCACCCCAGGAGCAAGCCCAGAATTTGCCGACAAGTCCGTGTTGACGACTGATTGCACCACCAAAGGTGTCAGAAACTGCTTGCAAGAGTTTGGAAGGTGTGGAGTTAGCACAGATGAGGCTGCTAACACGTTCGAAACCAAATTCTCGGACAAGGAATCTGGCATTCATTTTGTGTCTGTGACAAAGCTAAACACATGGACGCAATCTGAGTTCGACGGCAGTGCCACTGGTCACAGCAAGACATCCCTTGACAAGTACCAGTTCTTGCTCAAAGCGGCTGGGCAAACAGAGGTGGCCGAGCAAATTGCGCAGCCAAAAGTCCATGGCTTTCAGAAGAGGCTTAAGCAGGTGTGGTCCCTAGCAGCTAGCAGATGTTCACACCCACGACTCCCAGCATTGCCAGGCCAGCGAAGATCTGGTGGCTGCTTGGCACGCGTGGATGCATGAGCACTGGGCGGCTGGGCCGCCGCTCAAACTGGCGCTGGATGGGAGAGCGCTGTCCATGTACCAGGCTGTGAAGAGCGCAATTGCCGACTTCATGGCCGAAACCAAAACGCCAGCGGTCTACAAAAGCAAGTTGATGTTTTGGCACAGTGACATCCTGCGGGACTGCCACAAAGTATTCCGAGCGACTCAATTTCTGCAGTCGATGTCCAAAGCGCATAGTGCCCCGTTGCAGCGGGAGTCCATGTCACTGGACGAGTTCACCTGCGCGCTTCACAAATGGATTTGCCAGGTGAGAACACACTTCGCCAGCTACAGGTTTGCTGCAGCCAAGCAAGAAGAGGCGTCTGTGTCCTCCGGGCATGCCAGTGCTGGGCATGCCGCAGTCTTGTTGGCAGTGGAGTCTTCGCTCCCGGAACCTACACAGGAGGATTTGTTCATGAAGAATTTGATGGCTCGTGCTCCTCACAACACATGGTTTACTTCTGCAGATGTCCGCTGCTGGTTGAAAAACAAGCGAGGACAAAGCTACAAGGGCAACTTGAGTGAGAAGATCGAGAAAGCAATTGGACACTTGGTCGACCATGGCCTCCTGGATTTGTATGAGCCTGAGACCCCACCAGCCGAAGGCAATACTGCTTCATTCACCGAGCGAGCTGCTAAACGGCATGGGTCATCATCAACGACCGGCAAGGCAGGCAACGTGGCAAAAAAACGCGGCCTGAGTGAGATTCAGAATGATGAAAAGGCTGACCAGGAGAAGCAAAGGCTGCGGCTGAGCGCAAACGACTTTTCTGCATGAGCCCCCAGCGCAAATTTTGAGAGGCAGCTTGTACTATAGTTGCGCGGACGACAAGTTTTGAACCTGGGTTGATGACCGGCATTCTCGAAAACGCGGAAAAAAGAGCTGGCGCTGTCGTAGCCATAGCCATTGCAAGCCCCAATTGCAGCATGTAGCGGTTCTAAGGTAAAGTGCCAGCCAAATAGAAAGTAGCCCCTTGTGCATACTGCGGGCCCTCGAGCATTCATGGCTTTGTGGCAGGAGATCACAATGTTCTCAGTGGAAGTGGGCGATGAGCGTGAAGCATTTGTGAAGGTTCATCTTTGCGTCATGGGTGTGGAAAGCAAAAACTGACCAGGATCTTCGTTGCGCCTTCCGGCGTGATGCTGTGGACTTGCAAATCCCAGATTTGAAGGGTCAGGCGTGGAGGTTTTTCCGGGATGATCTTCAACGTGACATTGTGCCGGACCTCTGCTCATTCTACATCCGCAAGAACCATGTGGTGCTATGTCTGCGGAAAAAGAGGCGCGAGTCAGGCTATGAGGGTTGGACAGATTTGCTGGCGCTGGGTCGGCCCAAACGAAAGCGCACCGAGGAGGCTGAAGCCACAGAGCCAGATGATGAGGTCAAAAACTTTCTGGCCACCTACACCATCATGGCGACGACGATTTGAAAATGAGAGTGGGGCAGTGGGTAGCAATGGCCCGGGAGGCCTTGAGTAGGCCGTAGGTACAGTTGAGAGGATAGATGCTGATTTCAGCCAACGAAAAGGAGAGCTGTTACGTGTTTGAGCGATTTCCCAGCGTGATGCCGCGTGGATTGGCTTGCGCGTGTAGGGAGATGATTTCTGATTATAAGTTTCCTTCTAGGGCTCCATTTGCGAACAACAGAGCGGGATGCAAAACTGATAGCTAGAGCAGCTAGAGCAAAGTGTGCAGCTTGGGGCCTGGGGCGGATGGGTTTGGCTGCTTGCTAAGCATACCTGTGTGCTACACTAGGCGTGCCACGTGCCCACAAAGAGCAAACCAACAAGCAGTACACACACAGACTGTTCCAAACCATGCCCCATTCCCACTGCAAGTGTTCAGGTGTTCTCTGCAACTGTCACACACCCATGGCCCAAACATGTGTGTCCAACTTCAGTTTTTGTGGCGCCGCTATTTTGTTTAAAGTGATTACTTTTCTTTGGGCATTTGTTTTGCGTTTGCCACTTGTTCAAGTGTAATTTTCGCCGCCCACAGCTGCGTTGCTGCTTTTTGATGGCTGACAGCAGCTTGAAAGAGATTGAAGTTGAAGGGCCTGGACCAGGCAGTCTTGCTGAATGGGAGATTCTGTCTGACCCAGACCCTGCTGCTGACAATGAGTCTCCAGTGTTTTTGTTTCCGGTTGAGCGCCCACTGCCTAACAGCAGTGTCAGTGTGCCCGGCCCGGGAGACGAGGAAGAAGCTGTTGCTCCACATTCTGAGGACGAAGGTTCCAGGGATTCCACTATGTCTCCCAGTCTTACAGAAAATTCATTCCTGCAGCACTTGATGAGGACAATGCGCAATACTCGGAGGGCACTCACCTATGGCCAGGA